ATATTTATATATTTATATTATATTAAATAAAATATATGTGAATATCAAAAAAATATTACTTATTAATAGACTTTACATATACATACATACATATATATATATATATATATAAAATATCTCTTTTTGACTTGCAAGTTCTTAAAGAGGAGGAGACTATATCAAGTATATTACCTCTGTACCTAAATCCGCCACTGTGGTTGTTACTATCTCGAGTTACCGCGAACGGCATCGGATTATTTCATGACTCGGGATGTGCTGACGATGCTCGACAAGTCATATCCCAACTGATATCAACGCAACGATACTACGACGAACGAGATCTTGTATGCAGATCTTATCTGTTCGTAATCTACCTTCTTCGATAATACGCGGACAATATATACCAATGTTATCCATCGTTGTTTAAATGTAAGAAATAAAGAAATTCCTTCGGAATCTATACGCGATTGCTAAAGATCGCGAAAGAGCAGAAGCATGAAGAAAGCATGGAATTAAATTTTTATCTATATAAATATGCTCTCTCTGCTCGATTAAAAATATTCATCTTTTAACGCGAAAAAAAATTCGAATCAATATTTTTAGAATGGATTATCACTCGTGTCTCTCATAAATATTAAACTCCGAACAGAATTTTTTTTTTCGTACGGACGTAGCGGTCATGTCAAGAGTCAAGTACTCCCACAATCGAAAATTTATATTTTGTTCGTGAATCTTTTTTAGATATTTCAAGATTATTCGAATAATATCGAGAGATAGAAATTAGAAAAAGATTGATCATTAATAGAGAGGTAATCATTGGCTTCCGAGAAACGTATATGAGAAAGTCTGTGAAAGTCGATTATGATTTCCTAAAGAATGATATTATTTTTAATGGCATACGCGAATTAAACGGAGAAATGTACTGTAAAATGAAAAAGGAATCATGAGCATACACACACACATGTGTGATATTATTGTATTATTACTTAAGGAATTGTTAGACGATCCGACTTTCGATAAATAAAAAATAAAGAGACATTATTTTACATGTCATTTAAATAAAGATTTAAATATCTAAACGTCTTTAAAAAATTCAACGTAAAATGCATTACATAAAATCAATAATGCAAAAAGTATGTAGATGATTACTATGGCTATAGTAAATTTATAACTATAAGAAAACTGAAAATTTTTTGTAATAAATTATCATATGCATCTCTTTATTTTTGAGGAGAAATATTATATTATTTTATATCATATATATATCATTTTTATATACAATCACATCGAGAAAATATAACTTCAGTAGAGAAAAAGAGAGAGAACATTCATTGTTAGACAATTAATCACTGCCTACCCCAAATGTCAATCTGATGTCAAAAGGTAGCACGCCTCTTGGCTTGACCTAAAGCAACATAACCCAACCCCTAATCTACCTCAAGTACGTCAACGCGTTACGAATCAATCGAGGACACGCGTGCGTACGTGTACGTTGACACGTTCGCGATAAAACCATATTAACAAAACGCATGCCGACCTATATCTAGATCTCGTGGAATGAATCTAACCTGATAGCATGATCGGTTTATCAGAAGCACTTCGTTTATAATCAAACTATCATATTTAATTTATATTGTCCAAGTTGAATTCCTTTTTGAAAAATTTACAGTATATATTCGAAATAATGATATTATGATAATTGATAAATTGATAAGCGTAAACCAATACGCGATCATAATCATGTAATGGCTTTTTTGGCAGGCATTTTTAATTTATTGATTGCCTGCTTGAGTAAAACATATGTTGAAAACATATATCATAATGTGTATTATTTGTTATCTCTAAATTTTAACATTCCACACAAATTACTTAATACGAATGTAATTTATTTCTCCGTAAAAGACATATCGTTTCCAGCGTCTTATAAAACTGGAAACTATTAAAAACTCAAATATGTTGAATAGAATGAAATCCAAGTCTCTGTTAAATTTACATATTTCGCGCGTACGAGTTAATAGAAATTAATTTAAATACTAAACACACAGAACTATTAATTTAAAAAAAAAAATAATTATATACATCTATAGATATGTAGAAATAAATATAGATATGTAATAATTAATTTTTTTGCATTGTACAATTTTTTATATTTGTGAAATTTTGCATCAGCGAGCAAAATGGAATACCTATGGTCCTTTGTTACATGATATCGCATAAAGACGCAAAGCGAATGTGGGAGTACAAAGCGCTTCAAAGGATTCCGTTAGATAGATATTCCACGGTGAACGGAATTATATAGGAGCTTTGCACTCCAAAGAGTTGAAATTTTAATGAACTTCTGAATTATAATGGCGTTCTATTTCCCGACTAAAATTTTTCCTTATTGAATAAATCACTGTCCGATAATGAAGTATCCGCATTATCAAGTATGACTTCACCGAGAGAATTTGTATAGTTACGTATGTAATTTGTAATATAATTTCGTCTTAATCAATCTTAAATTATGAAAGTATAATATTGAATTTAAAAAATTAGGTCACAAAAAATATATTTATTTATATTTCAAATTTATTTATATTTCAAATTTTACCGTATTAATGAAGATTTTGAAATTACTTTGTTGTCAGATATTAATATCGTGATGATTAAAAGAAAATCGCTATCCTATTTTACTTTGCATTATTCTAATTTCACGAAATGTTAATAGCAATAACGATATAACTCTGTCCACAAGAAAATTACAATAAATTGAAATATAAATTGTTACTAAATAAAATTTCAATTCCAGAAATAAAAAATTTCTTCTTTCTATATATA